TTGATGCATTCTGAAGGGCGAACCTCTAGATTCGAAGGCCAAAGCTACACTTGAACCTGAAGGTAGTCGTTTATTTAGATATCTGTAAGAAATTTTTGTAAAGGCTCGATAAGGCATTATCGTTTCCTCACACGTTCGTAGGCTTGCAAAGCTCTAATTTGTAGTCTCCAATATTTCAATGATGTATTGGAATTGTAATTACAGTACGTCCCCAACAGCCGCTCTGTTTGTTTGGCGTTACATCCTACTATCAGTATCGGGCTTTGACTCAATAACCTAACCAAAAACGTATTCAAGGGCATTCAACGGTCGCTGTCCGGTCTTCAAGCTTTGTGCCATTTTTTAAGGCTGGTGGCGTGCCAGGTCCCGGCCTGGCGCCCGTAAATATTGTTTTGCATCGTCCATAATGTTAACTTACGACATTGACTTGATGTTCAGGAAGTTTATGCATGAAGTTGGCAGTGAGGAGTTTTCATCCGGATGACACCTAATCTATCTAATTTACACTGATGATATTGCCTGGCTAGCTTCACACTTTGGTGATGTATAGTCCGTAGGACCACGGATGAATGATGTCAATAAGTCATTTGATTTATCGATAAACGATTAGATGAACGGTGTTTTCTGTCGGGTCAGAAAAAGGTATCTCTTGAACTTAATGATTCTCAAATCGAAGGAGTCGACAGTTTCAACTCTCTCTGAGTGAGGCATCTGTCTAATGAACAGACTAAAGATGTGATTTTCTTACGGATATACATGTCTAACCAGGTTTTCATGGGCCTCAGAAAGTGTTTACTGATCCACTGCGACGTCTGCATTGCTATTTTTAATTCGCATCTCCCGTGTTTCTATCGGATCGTTAATTATATTCGCATATATCTTTGCCGCTGTATAGAATATGAACGAGAACTTGGGTTATTTAATCATCGCTCCCTAAAGACCATCCTTCGAGTGAATTACAGCGACTTTATCTTAAATGTTGCAGTCCGCACTGGCTAAGATAATATCTCAAGAATATCCCTGGACATCCGCAAAAGCAAATGCGGTAGTTTAGTCGCGTTCTTCGTCTTTCAACTCACGATCTCTCGATCCGGCACCACTGTCCACATAGAAACGCCGAGGAGACGGCCAACTCAAACCCGAGCTTCACGCCGTTCATCAAGACGTAAAAATGCTTCTTGGATATTCGGCCTCTGTCATTGGCGACGAGAGTAGGTTGGACTCTCCAGCTCCGCGGCCGCTGTCTTTGCGTGTGGATAGGTACAGCCCGTGATCTCACCATGGCTGGGTAGATTAGGCGTGATCGGAGCTATACCAAGTACAAGCACATACTCCAATCCGGAAGGACTCCTGGTTTCTAATCGGGGCTAACGTAGTTTTTGAACCAGACTAATTTCTTTCGGGGACTCTGATACTCTTAGTGGATATATTACCACTTTCGGATTAACCGAATTAGTTCCTTTTGGCAGACACATCACGGTGGTTAGAGTATTTTCTACTAATAATCAAAGCCCTTGATAACATTCCGAGCTCTCATTAACTATGGTTGCTCTTCTGGTTGGTTAACTTTTCGTTTAGCCACTTTTCCCCGAAAACGCGACGGAGGCACTCTACCAGCATTCGAGATATATTCCGTCACAAGAGCAGTCGGTATTTCATAAAGTTAGAGTTATTTTGGTATGACGTTTGCTAAACTTTTGCTGACCCAGTTCTGTGCCCATACACTTCCGTTATAAAATAGGCCAGTGGCGATCCCCTGTAGTTGGGAATTGTTTCTAATTTTGCCTGCTATTGAGGTTAATAGCTGGGCTTCCCTAGATATATTTTGTCCGTTTT